TGCCTTTGACCGGAATTCGAACCTGGGACCTTTCAGTCCGCAGGCTGATGCTCTATCCACTGAGCCAAACTGGTTTCGGTGCAAATGACCAATTTCTACTTATGTATACATGACTACTACTTTAGAACTTCTATTTAGCAGGAAAATAAAACAATAGGAGGTAGCTCTGAAGGCAGTAAAATGTTCTTAATAATACTTTTAAAAATCATAATGTATAACACCTCGCTCCCATGTTTAAGGCTTGTAATTACATTCACTGAAATTTGCAGAAGAATTTGTGTGGGGGGTAGTCTGATCCCTATATATAAATATAAGATATTTTGCCTGTTACTAATCAGCAGGGGAAGGAAGGATTATTTTGTTGTTTTAAAACAAAAAAACAAAAAAAATTTTCACAAAGCAAGAATTTGTTTTCTATGCAATATTAACAAAAAAGATAGAATTGCATTTGTTTTATGATAGAGCTCCATTCCTTGCTTCATTTGCTGTCCTTATCCTCCTTTACTTTATTTCTTCTATTTCTAATTTACATTATCTTGCTGTGTTTCATATTTCTGTGTAAACTGCCCTAAGTTCTTCCTGGAACAAGATGAGGCAAAACCAACATCCTGTGAGCAAAGTCTAATGTGAGGTCTGCATGAATTTTCAATCAGGCAGGATTAATTTGACACATATTCCTGGGTTTCTGAGGACCCTGAGACTAGCATGTGTGAATCTAAAGGGTAGTCACTGTAGCAGGCTGAAGAGCAGCCCCCAAGTACATCCATCCGGCCCTAATCTCTGGGACCTATAAATGCCACTTTATGTAAGAAAAGGGTCTTTGTACGTCGATTGAGTTGAGGATCTGGAGATGGGAGGATGATCTTGGATCATCCAGGTGGGCTCTAAATGAAATCACAGTGTTCTCAGAAACTGGAGGCCGAGGGAGATCTGAAACAGACAGCAGAGAAGGCACTGGGGCACGAGGCAGATGCCAGAGGGATGCAGCCAATGAATGCAGCTGACAGTCCCCGAAAGCTGCAAGAAATGGATTCTTCGTGAGAGCATCCAAAGGAGCGAAGCCCTGCCGGATACCCTGATTTGGGTCCAGTGAGAGTGATTTTGGAATCCCGGCCCCAGAACTGTGAGAGAATACATTTCCGTTGTGTGCAGTAATTTATTACAGCAGTCATAGGCAACGAATACAGCTATTAATCTGAATATATACAATGGGATGAGTGGAAAGAAGGTTTTTCTTTCAGCATTAAAGACACTGGTAAGGACAAAGGCAAAGTTATTTCCTAGAAAAATGAAATATTGGAAGATAATTTTAAAAGATAGGGAACTTTTCATTTTAAAGCCCTACACGTTTCAGGAAAATGCTAAATTCCTAACCAAATGTCCTCTCCAACAGGTGATTATATTAAAGCAACATTCTCTAGTTCCAGGAGAGCAACGGGAAAGCTGGCATCCTGCGGGCCCCCATTCCACCTTGCTCTCCGGCCCTCCTCGCAGAATCGTGGTGCCCATAAGCCCACTTCTGAATGTTCTGTTCTACCAGCTTCCCAAAATGTGTCCCTGTTTCACCAAAAGTAACCTTTTCTTCCACAAAGTGAAGGAGTCTGTTTGCAGAATTTCACTTTGGGAGCAGGTTCCGGGACTGACTGCGGTCCTCACTGAACAGGTGCCAGTGATGGCCACAGCATCCGGTTGGTCTCTGGGGAAGGACAGGGGCGTCGCATCAGCAGCTGCCTACTTACCCTCACTCACCTCTGCTCTCTCCAGACCAAGAGGCAGAGAGACAAGCCGTCCTCACTCTGGGTAATCCTAACACACACTGTGCTGATGACACGAACCTGCACAGAGGACTCTCTCAGAGTCTAAAAGTCCATTTCCTTTAGCCAGAAAATAGGCCAAGTGGAAAGAAGATTTCCTCTTTAATATACACTATAAATGCCTTGTGAAAGGTTTTCTTCTTAAAGAACTTTAAAAAGGGGGGGGGGGCACTTAAAATGAAAAATGTAAAGTACTGAGGAAATAAGAATTTAAGAGGTAAATATTCACCTGGTTGTAAAAGTATAACATTGGAGCCTGGCTCAGTGGTTGAGTGTTGACCTATGAACCAAAAGGTCACTCTGGTTCAATTCCAGGCAGGATTTCGGCTAGATGTCCAGGAGGGAGGTAGGCAGGAGGCAGCTGATCTCTTGTAGATGTTTCTCTCTCTCTCTATTCCTCTTCTTTCCTCTCTCTCTAAAAATCAATTAAAAAAAAAAAAAAGTATAAAGTTGGAGTCAGCCTCCTTCATATGAATCCAAGTTATTTTTATTTTCTTCCGGAATGCTTTTTAAATCTGTTCACTGTCCTCTCTGTGGCTGACCATCACCCTAATACAGGTGTCCCTAGGAATGCTTCATCTGCCTTTTTCACTTGTCCCCCCCACCCACCCACTCAGCTCCCGCCCCTGCATGAGGGGGAGGGGAGGAGTGGCAGAGAGGGCAGGGGACTAAGACTTTCTCTTTCCTCTAAAGGTGGTGTCTGTGAGCAGGCAGGGGCACTGAGCACCACCTCTGCCCCTCATTCCCTGATTGCTTTTCCGGGGGCGTATGTACATCCTGCACGTCCCCCCTCTCTGTGGACGGGGCACAAGAGCACCACCCACTTCAGGGGGCTGCTGTGAAGAAGAAATGAGTCAGCACACGCGAAGCACCGAGAGCAGAAACGGGCGCAGTAACGAACCTCGCTATTGGGGTTATCACCCACTGGAAGACTTTCAGGCCCCCCCTCTATCCCCATCAGAAACGAAGCTGCCATTTCCCACTGATCAAGTAACTCTCAGCGTCACGCCTGTCTCTTCAGGAAGCAGGAACCAAACCTGTGGCTGCTTCTCCTCCAGGGCACGGTGTGTGGCAGAGAAAGGCCCCGCGATGTTTGTTAGGTCCGTCTCTCAGGTAAAGCAAACCAGTGCCCCGGTTCCAGCCTGCAGCTTCCTCCAGCTGAGGAAGAGCAGGCCCTGGAGCGCTTTCAAACATACCCATGGCTCGCCAGGACCAGGATTTAAAACTCTCCAAATGACCCCCAGCTGCAAAGCAGGCTGGAAAGCCCCCGGGTGGCTCCCTGCCACCTGCTGCCGTTCAGGAGGGAAGGCCTCCCTCGGAGCTGACCTCTGCTCTGGAATTTGCCCAGTCTCAGGCGGAGGAGGGGGGTGGGGGTGGGGTGGAATTCTCCTCTCTTATTTGGATAATGGGCAGTTTTATGGACAGGAACTTGGCTGACGGGACAAACAGAAATGGTTCGCCCTGTTCAGACCAGGGTAGTCCTGGCAGCAAACCCCTGGATGGCTCCTGTCCCCAAGGCTGCCAACCAGCTCTCATTCAGGACACTTCTGCCTCGAGGGCGAGCCACAGGGTCATGAACCTCCAATCTACAATATCTATCTATCTATCTATCAATCAATCTATCTATCTATCTATCTATCATCTATCATCTACACTGTAGTATCTATCTATCTACCTACCTACCTACCTATCTTTCTTAAAAGCCATCACTGAATCACCTACATTGTAGTGTCTGTCTATCTATCTATCTGTCTATCTATCTGTTCTGTCTGTCTCTCTATCTATCTTAAAGGCCATCACTGGATTCCCTATCTATCTTAAAAGCCATCACTGGATTCCCTACACTGTAGTGTCTGTCTGTCTATCTGCCTGCCTGTCTGTCTGTCTACCTTTCTATATGACTTAAAAGCCATCACTGGATTCCTTATACTGTCCTGTCTATCTGTCTGTCTATCTATCTAGCCATCACTGGATTCTTTACACTGTAGTATCTATCTAACTATCTATCCATCCATCCATCCATCCATCACTGGATCCCCCACTCCGTAGTGTAGAAGGCAGGTGCGGTGGTTGTTTTAAAGGCTGAAGAAAGCTGACCTCCACCCATCCCTCCCAGGCGCTGCTCCCCAGGTGACGGACCCCGGAATCAGCGTTCTTCTCCCAGGCTCCCCACCCCCCACCCCCCCACCCCGGACCCTCCTCCTCTGCTCCTCTCCAGCCCGTTTACTCCCGTCCCGGCACGAGTCCGAGCGTGACCCCGAGACATCAGGACGCGCTCCGCGAGGCCGCCGCGGGCTCCCCCAGTCCGCGCCCCGGGGTGGGGCGCTGGGCGGCTGGGGGGGGGGGGGGGGAGCAGAGGGAGCTCCGGGACCGCGGGAACCCGGGGCACACGTGCCGGTCGGTCGGTCGGTCCGGCTGCAGATCCGCGGGCGGGCAGCGCTCTCCTCGCCGGGGGAAGGCCGGTCCCCGAGAGGCCGGCGTGTCCGGGGGGAGACGGGGTCCCCGCGGAGCCGCCGCTCAGCCCGGATCGGGAGCCGCGCGCAGGACGCGAGCCCGAGGCGAGGAGCCCGCGCTCCCCGCCCCCCGCCCCGCGGGAAAGGGGGCGGCAGGAGGCTCCCGACCCGGTACAACAGGTCCTCGGGTGCTCGGGAGGTTCGGGAAGCGGGACGACCGGCCGGGGGAGGGGGAGACCGTCCCCTCTCCACGGAGCGCCGGCCTCCCGGCCGCAGCCCCGCACTCCCCGGGTTTGGGGCGCAGGCACCCCGCACTCCCCGGGTTTGGGGCGCAGGCACCCCGCACTCCCCGGGTTTGGGGCGCAGGCACCCCGCACTCCCCGGGTTTGGGGCGCAGGCACCCCGCACTCCCCGGGTTTGGGGCGCAGGCACCCCGCACACCCCGGGTTTGGGGCGCAGGCACCCCGCACTCCCCGGGTTTGGGGCGCAGGCACCCCGCACTCCCCGGGTTTGGGGCGCAGGCACCCCGCACACTCCGAGTTTGGGGCGCAGGCACCCCGCACACCCCGAGTTTGGGGCGCAGGCACCCCGCGGACTCGGCGGGAGCAGAGGGCGGACGTGCAGCGGCACCGGCCCGCCCGGCCCGGGAAGTTGGGCGACGCCGGAGCGGCGCTCTCCGCTCTCCGCGCCGCCCGGGCTGCCCCTCGGGGCGATGGGCGATCGGACCACTCACCTTGTGCCGGCGCCTCCATGGCGGCCGGGGGCGGGGGCTGAGCGCGGCGGGACCGGCTCGCAGGGATCCGGGCCCGGCGAGGGCGCCTTCTCTCTGCCCCGGAGCGCGAGCGGAGCGTGCGGCGGGAGAGGAGCCTGGGCAGCCGCCGCCGGCCGCTTCCCTCTCCTCCGCCCCTTCCAGCGCACCTGGCTCCCCGCGCCCGGGGCGCCCCCTGCCGGCCACGCGGGGCGCTGGGCCGAGGGCGCCCACTGCCGGCCACGCGGGGCGCTGGGCTGAAGGAGCTCCCTCCAGGCTTGGGGCGTTCTCAGCCCAGAGAAATGCCTACCTGGCTCAAGCGGGCCCTGACCTGGGCTGTGCCAACGCGAATACCATGGGAGAGGAGAGGAGAGGAGGAACTCAGTATGACAGTTCCATTCGGAGGCCCCCCTATTCCCTACCGAAGAGCTTTATGCAAATTCATAGCTGAACGATTATTGCTCCTGGTGGAAATGCCGTGTGATGTCTGTTACCCCCGGGACCCCACGTTTTTGTCAACTGGCCAATATATATATATCCTTGTTTTACGTGTGCTTCTGTTTAAAGATATCTTAACATATATTGTTGGTTAACTCAGTGGTCGGCAAACTCATTAGTCCACAGAGCCAAATATCAACCGTACGGCGATTGAAATTTCTTTTGAGAGTCAAGTTTTTTAAACTTAAACTTCTTCTAATGCCACTTCTTCAAAATAGAGTCGCCCAGGCCGTGGTATTTTGTGGAAGAGCCACACTCAAGGGGCCAAAGAGCCGCATGGGGTCAAGAGCCGCAGTTTGCCAGCCACGGGGTTGACTCATTGACATTGAGCTCAGGGCCAACAGCATTGTAACTCATTGTGCATGACATCGATTGAGCTTTTTAAACTTAGGTGTTTTGTTCCTGGGACACTAGAAAGCACTTCAGCACTATGTTTTCCGGGCCATTTTAAATACCACACACACACACACACACACACACACACCCCAAAGGCACAAAAATGGTATATTTGTAGTCCGTGAAAAGGACACTTCACAGTATGAGAGTTGAAATAAAGAAGGTAGCGGTTCACCTTGTTTGACCTCTGCTGGGAGGGTATGCCTCTGTCTGACCGGAGTTTTCAGGGCTCTGCCCACGTCTGGGAATAACCATGACGTTCTGTATGGATTTGAGGACATGAATAAATACATGGTGAGGAGGTAGAGTCACAAATATGGGCCTTGCAAATAACTGAGCCCCTGTGTATGTGTTTTCTAATCCCAAGACCCATAGGCCATGTCTGTAGGTTGGGGAAGCAATCCTACTTTCAAGAAAAGACTACTAGAAGCTTGTAGTTCTGGTCCACGCCTGGCCTGGCATGGTGACTGTAGGAAGCAGGGCTCCGGGGAAGGTACCCGCTGGTGTCTCTCCCATGCAGGCCTTCCACTGTCACAGAGCTCCCCTTTTCTCCACGTCTACACCAGCCTCATCCGCCAAGTGAAATGGACTGTTTACTGACATTTGGCCTCGGGTTGCCTTTTTTTAAGTTGTCGTTCTTTCTTTCTTAAAATAGATGGTAAAAATCTGTCAGGGTGAAGTGACAGTCCCATACCGAGCCCCCCCATATACCCTACCGAAGAGCTTTATGCAAATTCATAGCTCAAAAACTTCATGGAATAAATAATGACCTAGCCAGTAGGTTCTAGTTTATCCATGCCCAAGTTACTGTCAAAGTACAGACTTAATAAACATGAATGGACTCTTTTTTTTTTTTTTTTTTTTTTAATTAATGGGCTCTTAAATCTTGGCTTGAGAGGAGGAACACTCGTGATTTCCTGGCACTTGTAAAAATGCACCAGTGTTTCTTTTGTGGTGTTCAATAAACTCTTGATTCGTAATCATGGCCATTAAAATTGGTGTATAGAACGGCAGGCATTAGGGCTTTTTCATGGATTTTGGTGGCAGTGACCATGGATGCATCAAGTGACAGATTAGAGCCAGTGATTAAATCAGTTTTAGAGTCTATCAGTTGTTCTGGTCCCCCTGTCCCCCGCCCCCGCCCCCGCCAAATCCTGGAAATTAAACACCAGGTTAGGCTTGACTCCCAGCTGTTAAAAGAGCTAAAAATAGTCAATGACTTTCCAGCTTGAGTCAGCGAACCTTCATCCAAACTCTGACTCATTTTTCTGATTTACAAAAATTTAGGCTACCACCCCTTAATATCTTTCATCATTGTTTATAATAATAAAATACTGATATTCACTCAGAAGTACTTACTGAATATCCTCTGGGCCGGGAACGGTGCTAGATGTTAAGGATTTAGGCGAAGGGCCTGTTCCTTTTTACCCAGGGAGTCCGTGTCTGGGGAGAGGGGAGTCAGGCGGGAGCTTTGGAAAGCAGTGCGCCGTGCTGAGCGCTGTGCTGGGGTGAGCCTGGCGTGTGGGGAAGCGGGGAGGAGGGTCTCCTCACTCATTCTGCTGAAGAGGTCCAGGAACATCTCTTTGAAGATGTCTGCCTCCGCTGAATCTTGAAGGATAAAGAAATGAACCAGGTATGTTGCATCAGCCCACAAATAATGGCTCAGCCAAGGGGGACTAATATCCTTCCTTTTTCCTTGTCACTTAGGATGTGAATTTTCTTAACTTCTTTGAAGCTTAGTCAAACAGTCATCTACATCCTCTGTTCTTCATCTTTGTAACCACCCCTGCAAGGGGCAGGTGTGTAAGCTGATGCAATCCCAGCCCAGTCCTGCAGAACTGAACTTTCTGCAGAGGTGCGGGTGCCGTGGGAATCATAAATGCCCAAAGGGAAGGCAGATTCAACAGTCACTGTCTGAGAGGGACGAGGAAAGGACAGATAAGGTGTGCCGCTCTGGCGCAGGAGTGTTGCAAGCACACTGAAGGAGAACGTGGGCTCTGGGGTCCATCCCATGCTCACACTGAAAATTACTGTGTGACCCGCAGCAAGGTTCTCAGCCTTTCTGTGCCTGGGCTTCCGCCTTGTGAGGCAGGGTGCTGTACCAGGTGCTAATGGATGGTTCTTTCCCTCCCAGCCTACCGGTGCCCGTGTTGCTAGAGCAGTGGTCCCAGCCCCCTTAGACGTCAGCACCACCCAAGGGGCTTAGGACATTTCTGACATTTCTGATACCTGGGTCCCACTCTCTGATATTCTGATTTGCTTTGTAAAAAAAAAAAAAAAAAAAAAAAGGAAGAAAGAAAGAAAGGAAGGAAGGAAGGAAGGAAGGAAGGAAGGAAGGAAGGAAGGAAGGAAGGAAGGAAGGAAGGAAGGAAGAAACCGCCGAAACCTGTTTGGCTCAGTGGATAGAGCAGCAGCCTGAGGACTGAAAGGTCCCAGGTTCGATTCTGGCCAAGGGCATGTACCTTGGTTGCGGGCACATCCCCAGTAGGGGGTGTGCAAGAGGCAGCTGAATGATGATTCTCTTTCATTGATGTTTCTAACTCTCTATCCCTCTCTCTTCCTCTTTGTAAAAAAATCAATAAAATATTTATTTTTTTAAAAATCAAAAAAATGTCCACCTAGGTAAACAGAAAGAGACAAAGAAGAAGGAGAAGGGAAGGAGAAGGAGGAGAAGGAGAAGGAGGAGAGAAAGAGAAAGAGAAAGAGAAAGAGAGAGAGAGAGAGAGAGAGAGAGAGAGAGAGAAGAGAGAAGAGAGAGAGAGAGAGAGAGAGAGAGAGAGAGAGAGAGAGAGAAAGAGAAAGAGAAAGAGAAAGAGAAAGAGAAAGAGAAAGAGAAAGAGAAAGAGAAAGAGAAAGAGAAAGAGAAAGAGAAAGAGAAAGAAAAAGAAAGCAGTTATAGCACAGACTCCAACACCCCTGCTTCCAAGGAGTTGGGGAGGGAAGAGATGTTTGGAGGAGAGGTTAGAGCTGTGTCTGTCTGTGTGTTTCTCTTGCCCTCACCTACCTTACCCTCCTCGCAGCACCGAGGACCCGGCTTTGAAAGTTCCCTTAGGAACTTCTTTGAGAAATGTTAGGAAGGACAGCGAGCCTGTCCCTTTGTGCTTCCCACCTTTTCAGGTGGTGTAGGATACCCTCTAGGTGTTTCCCTGAGCCCCGTGTGGGGTGACGAAGTCAGGAGAGAGAACCAGCTAGTGGCCCACACTCACAGGAGGCTGGAGAGAGACCAGGAGAGGGAGGGGCAGCAGAGTCCCTCAGGGAGGTAAGGGGGCTGCACACAGGGAGTGGCAGTGGGGAGCTACATCCTGCTACAGAGCTGGGCAAAGGCAATGGGAGACTTTGCTGGGGTCCTCCCAGTCCCCAGGAGAACCTGGATCATGTCTCCTCTTCAAGTCCACCCGCCAGAGGGTGGGCTGTGGAGGCCAGAAGAGATGGGGGCTGCCATCTTGCCAGTACCACTGAGGCAAAGAGTCAAGACATGGACGTCAGAAGAGTGTAGCTTGAGGCTGTAGGGTTCAGACGGAGTGATTGTGCTCTTAGAGGCTAGGACTTAGCCCAATCTCTTTTCCGGAGAGAGGGAGCTAAGAGGATTGAGAAGATCTCACTTACATTGACCTTCAGGCTGGAATGGGACCATCCGGCAGGAGGAATCTGAAACGCAGGGAAGAAAGCAGCCCCAGGCCTGCACCGGTCGGTCATGTAATGGTGAGCATTTGGTTTTCTTGGATTTCAAAACCTGTAGTTTGAGAAATTGACTATTTTCAAAGTGACTGTATCTCTTTTGTTTGTTTGTTGTTGGGTGGTTGTTGTTGTTTTTGTATTTTTTTTCTGCTTAGTGTTTATTCTGCTTCTGTTCAAAATGTTCAATTCTTTCAGTAGCACTGAGAAAAGAAGTGTGTTGTCAAGTTGGTCTAGGCCAGTGCAGGACACAGCAGGGGTGATGTAAACAAGGAAACTCCGAGAGAGAAGCACAAAAGGACAGACATAAAAAGACAAAGGCCTCTTTCGCACCATTAATTCCTTCATTACAGTAGGGCTTTCCCATTTCTTAGAGGATTTTTGTCTTGTTTTTTCAAAGGCGTGATGTCTTCACAGCTCGGGATCTCTTATGCTGACCAGCAGGCTGAGCTTCCTGAGGCTGTCCTTGCCAGCACTTGACCTTTAGGTAAATGGTGTTAGCACAGCATCCTCATGAAACAGAAGCAGAAAGTCAGGTGTGGGCTAATTCTTTTTTCAAACACAATGGGTCCTTCTGGGTTAGAGAAAGTCCACATA